CCTGTTCTTCTTCTCACATCCCCTTCCTGCCACCTCTTCCCACTCCCAGGACTCAGCCCAGATCACCTCGCTGATTCCTGCCCCCTTGCCAGCTGCAAGCATGGATGGGAGCATGAGAAGAGCAAGGCCTGGCACTTCTGCTCCTGCAGCTGCTGCAGCGGCCCCTCCCCCCTCCACTTTGACCCCCACGTCAGGGTCCCTACTGAGTGGACTGGATGGAGGCCCTTCACATTTCCGGGCCTCAACCACAGCTGCAGCAGGTGCCCAGAGGTCAGAAGTCAGATATAACCAGAGATCCCAGACCTCCTGGGCCCGAAGCTCGTGCACCAAGGAAATGCCATTCGAGCTCCACCACAGCTCCCACGGGAGGCTTCCCGTGGCTCATGAGAGGAGGATGGGGGGCCAGCCTCATCCCACTGTCAGCTGACCCTCAGTACCTCAAAGACAGTGAGTGAGGGCAGACCTCAGCTGCCTCTTCGGGTCACACCCAGTGTGAAAGGTGGCAGATACAGCACCCAGGGCAGACATTAGCGCCCCGAGGACTGGCTCCCAGATCCCAGGCCTCTAGCCCGTAGACGCAAGTTTCCCTGCTCCACGCACGCAGGCGGGAAACCTCTGATGCACCTCCCCTTAGAGCTGGGATTCGGGTCACTGCAGAAGATCTGGACCTGGAGAAGGAGGCGGCGCGTTCCAGTGCATCAACAGTGTACTGCGGGGATGAGCCAAGGCTATCTAGGACTGCAGACCCTCACGGCCTTCCCACACTTTGTCTTCACTTGCAACAGGGGCTTCCTGGTCACCTGCTGTTTCTAAAGCACCCAATATGGATGCACAGCAGGAGAGACACAAGTCCCAAGACTCCCAGGGCCCAGTGCTCCCCTAGCATCTGCTGCAGAGGCTCCCTCTACAGCTCCTGTGTCTGGGAAGAAGCACAGACCACCAGGACCCCTGTTCTTCTTCTCCAGATCTCCTTCCTGCCACCTCTTCCCCACTCCCCAGGACTCCAGCCCAGGTCACCTCGCTGATTCCTGCCCCCTTACTCAGCTGCAAGCGTGGAGAGCAGCATGAGAAGCCCAAGGCCTGACACTTCTGGAGCCAGTTCCACATTGCAGCCACGCCCACGGGCTTTGGGAGCAGAGAGTGGCCCCAGCTCTGAGTTCCTTCAGAAGAAAACAGGTAAAGAGAAAGGCCCCGAGCACCACCCATGGCAATGGGGCATGAGGGGAGCCTGAACACAGGAGCCCCAGGCTGAGCACATCCATGGTGACTGCGGGGAACTGTGCTGAGAGCAACTCTGTTGGGTGGCACTTTTGTCTTTACTTTCCATCATCCTGGGGACCATTTTAAGCAGACACCTCCCAGTTGCAAATCAGGGACCCAGTGCCACCTGCGCAAGCAAGGCAGGCTGCACGTGCAAGTCTGGGCCAGCCTCTGACCCTAGCCACCCCACTTTCCGCGTGGGCACAGCAATGAGGGACCTGGCCTCTAAGGCTCCTGGGCGTGCGCTGTCAGGAGTTTCTACTGGACACAGGTCAAAGGACCATCTTCCATCATCCTTCACCACTCCATGTTGGGCTTTTTGAGCCCGTCATAAGTCCTTGCCTAGAGTGAGGTCCAGAAGAGTTTCTCCTTCCAGTATTTTGTAGTTTCGTATCTTAACATTCAAGTCTTGGATCTATCTCGAGAGTGATTTTGTATGCTGAGAGACAAGGGTCGGGTTCATTCTTCTGCATGTGGCTGCAACCCTCCCAGTACCATTCATTGAAGAGGGTGTCCTTTCCCCAGTGTGTGTTTCTGTCGGCTCTGTCAAAGATCAACTGGCTGTGAACATGTGGCTGTGTTTCTGGGTTCTCTCATCTGTCCCATTGATCTAAGTGTCTAGTTTTATGCTAGGATTATACTATTTTGGTGACTACGCACTTGTCAAACATTTTGTAGTTGTAATTTACCCATTGTGCAGTGTAATGGATGCCTCTAGTTTTGCTGTTTTGCTGAGGATGACTTTGGGTCTTTGAGCTCTTTTTTTTTAAGTCCTTTTTTGTGAATTTTAGGACTTTCTGGTGAATTCTGTAGTGGTGACATTGGTATTTTGGTGGGGTTGTATTGAATCTCTAGACTGCTTGGGGCAGTGTGGTCATTTTAATGCTATGAATTCCTACCATGAGCATGAAATGATTGTCCATTTCTTTCTCTCCTCTTAAACATTTTCTCAGTGTTTTGTAGTTTTTCCTTAGCAAAGAAATCTTTCACCTCCTTGGTAAAATTTTTCTGTAGCATACATTTTTATTTTGTTGCTATTGTAAATGGGATTGCCTTCTTAATTCTTTCCCAACCACACCATTATTGGTGTATAGAAATCACTGCTGATTTTGCTGTTGTTGTTGTTGTTGTTGATTCTATATCCTGCAAATAGCTGCTGTATTAGTTTTATTTATCAGGTCTAGGAGTTTTCTGGTGGAGCCTTTACATGTTTCTAGATCTAAATCACATCTTGCCACATCAAGACAAGGATAATTTGTGATGTCCTCTTTTCCATTGTGGATGCCTTTTACTATTTTTCTCTTACTGCTTGTGTAATGTCAAATAGGAGTGGTGAGAACTACAGCATCCTCATCTTATTCCCACAGAGGAAAAATGCTTTCAACTTTTCCCATTGTGCTTAATAGGTTAGCTATGGCTTTGCCATATACAGCTTTTATTGTTTTCATGTATTTTTTTAATTTTGTTTTTTTGAGACATAGCCAAGTCTCACTCTTGCTGCCCCAGGCTAAGTGCAGTGGCATTATTTGGCTCCTGCAAGCTCCACCTCTGTGGTTCACCCATTCTCCTGCCTCAGCCTTCCGAGTAGCTGGGATTACAGGCGCCCGCCACCACACCAGGCTAATTTTTGTACTTTTAGTAGAGATGGGGTTTCACCACGTTGGCTGGGTTAGTCTCAAACTCCTGACCTCAGGTGATCTACCACCTCAGCCTCCCAAAGTGTTGGGATTGCCGGCATGAGGCACTGTGCCCCAGCCCGGCCATTTTCAGGTATGTTCTTCTATGACCTAGTTTGTTGCATTTTCCTTCTTTCAAGCCCATCTCCAGCCCAGGGCAGCTCCCCTGTAAGCTGGGTGAGCTACTGAAGCCAAGGCGGGAGGCGGCTGACAATACCTATGGCCCATGCAGAGGTGGTGGAAAGGCTGGACTCAGCAGCAACACCAAATCCCGGACAGAAACACCCAAGACCCCAGAGGCTCATTTTCCAGGCGAACAGGTGGCCCACACAGGTAAGAACTACAAGGCCCAGGCTGTGTGGTGGGAGTCCTCCCTGTCCCAGGGTCTCAGCACAGCAAGGAAGACCAGCTGGGTCTCACCCTGGAAGCCATCTGTCCCTGTCCCACCTGCAGAGTCAGAACAGCAGCCTCTCCCAGTGAGATCGTCGTCTTTCTCTGCCAAAGCAACGCAGTGGTCCCTGCCCCAGCAGACTGCCTCCGTGGAATTGGCTGCTGCTCCCAGTGTCTAACGCTGCCCAGCTGGCACTGCCTGTGCTCACCCGCACCCCTCAGGCCAGCCACTGCAGCCTGGGCTTAGCCACCTTGGCCTGATTAGTGAGGCCTCCTGGGCACCCAGCCCCATCACTGCACCTGCTGCTTCCAGCCCCACCTCACCGGCTCAGGGGTTCTTCCCAGTGGCGCTGATCATGGGAAATCAGCATGCAGCAACAGAAGTTGTCTCAGGGGAACTTATTATTGAAAGTGTTGGCAGTTCTTCCCCCACCTTACGGCGGTATGTGGTGGCTGAGCTCAGATTGCAGCAGCTAAGACACCAGCCATTGACGAGGAGAAAGCCAGGCTGCTTCAAACCCAGGGCCGAGGCAAAAGCATCACTTCTGGTCAGGAGTCTTGAAGCCATGTGCCTTGTGGGAGTCACACTGGCATCTAGGCCTTTGCCTGCATTGCAGAAGGAGCAGGGTCCCCTCCTGGAGAATGCTGCATTCCCCAGTCCCATGCAGTTTACCACCACAGGCTTTGAGAGGCCATGTTGACCCAAGCGACCATCAGCTCTCTGGGGCCCTGTGGGAGAGGAGCACTTTTAGAACATGGAAAAGTGTGGTCATCCCATCATTAGACAGCACACATCCTACATAAATAAAAAGTGCGGCACGGGGAAGGAGGTTGGGAGGGGAACAAAAAATTAGGTAGAGACACTGATAGATTGGTTTTCAGTTTCAAGAAGGCAGATGCACATCATGAGACCAGAGGAGGCCGAGACAAGGAGCTGAATTTAGTTTCTAAGAAGATGTGTTTCCTTGCAGGGCTGGATGGCCACTGAGACAGAGATGGAACCCAGGACAGGGGAGCTCACAGGGCCCAGACAGGTACAGAGAGCAAGCTCTCTTCTGTCCTCACCACCCATGAGGTGACACTGCTTGCAAATGGTAGCCGTGCTCTCAGCAGAAAAAAGAAAGCACAACAAAATCCACCGCACACAGACACAGACAGAAAACCTTCAAATGACCCTGACTCTGTTTTCTGCTCCCTGCCTCCTACCAGGTCACTCAAGCAGAGAGGAGTGTCAAGTGCAGCCCAGCTGTCAGCCTCCCGATGAGGCTGCAGGCTGGCAGGGCTGCCCGACTTGACACACAGAAACCCACTGCTTTCACACTTGGGAGGCATTCGCCAGACAGAGCACACTAGGTGCTGAGTGTCATCAGGGACCCCCACACTCTCTTGGTCGATCCTGCTTCCTCCTGGACAGGGCTCAGCAGGAGCTGCCCATTGACACACAGGGGAAACCCACTGCTTTCACCTTGGGAGCGGTCGCCAGACAGAGCCACACTGGGTGCTGGTGTCATCCAGGGACCCCACACACTCTCTTGAATTCGATCCTGCTTCCCTCTGGGCAGCTGCATCTTTTCCTCCTGCAGGACCATCTGGAAACTCGGCTCTGCTCTCCCTTCTCTCCTCTCCCTGCCCCAAACCCCTCTTTCTAAAAAAGTGATGCAGTGTTCATGGGGTTATTTCTTGAAAATACTTGGCGGCCTCCATGCTTCCGTTTTCCTTGAGCCAGGTGGTCATGAGGATTTACAAAGAATGCCTGGGCTCCCCCGCAGGTGCCGGCAGAGGGGGTAGCGATTGGTCCTGTGCCTCCACCTGCTCTGGGAGGGAATCTTCCATCTCTAGGGCTGGCCCCTTCCTAACCCTCCACGTATCCTGTTCTCCAGAGACTTTGGAACCCCACTCCTAAGAGCAGTGGGGCCAGGCGCTTAGAGGAAGAGCAAATGCTGCCAGGACACGGATTATCCCCAGAGTACATTCCAGCATTGTATTAGGTATCTGGATCTGTTAGGAAAAAAAAAAAAATTAGAAACTATGCATAACACTTGAAAATATTCAAGTATCAAAAGCTTATTTAGGTTGAAAGTTTTAAAACAAGTCATCAACAAGCTGCTACCAAGTGGAGACTTTTACAAAAGTTGAGCGAGTCTGCTGAGCTGAGAGGACAGAAATGAAGTCACCTGTGCTGGGGCAGGGGCAGGGACACCTGGGGCAGGGAGTGTGTGGGCAGAGAGAAACCAGAGAAGTCCAGGTCTGTGGAAGCCAAACAGGAGAGCGTGCGCTGGAAGGGCGGTCAGGATCAGGGGACGAGGTCGCTCTCCCTGGAGAACGAACCCTAAAGTGCGTAGCCTGGGACTCCCTCCCTGGGGGTCCTGTCCCCCAACATTTCACAGCCTGCCTGGAGCTGCCTTCCAAGGAGGACAAACATGGCAACAAGAGACCCATTTCTGCACAACAATCCTTCTGGAAAGAAAAAGAAGCCAAGAATGGAGTCAAAACGCTACCCAGTGCTGACTAAGCCTCTCAAACCCTGTTCTAAATGGAGTGTGGTTTCTAAGTCAGGGAAATGGAAGAGGCCCCACCCACACAGGGACAGGGCCATGGCCCCACAGGATGAAGCAGCAGCATTTATTCAAGATACAACAGTGAGGGAATCTGATCACGTTCCCTTCTCCCTTGAGAGGGCGTATCTTGACAAGTGATCCAGTAGAAACCTTTTAAACTCTATAAGTTCGTAAAAACCACTGTCTTCACCCTGTCTCCCAGGGCCAGGCCTGGACTCTCAGATGCACTGGCTTGGCACGCCCTCAGGTGGCCACATAAAAAAAAAACACAGTCTGAGGGCAGCCTGGGATTTTCAGACTTGGGCGGGATCTGCCCAGGCCAAATGTCCTTCTGCTTTGGGCCGCTGTCTCTTGGCAGATGGCCTGACACTGAGGCCCAAGGATGCCTCAGAAAATCTTGATTCCCACTCTATGGATGGCCTGATTAGCCAGAGGTTTCCAGGCTGTCTGTCCACCTCCTGGAGATGGACTGGGGCCTTTAGACTTCAGTGGAGAGGAGGATGCTCTGTCTCTTGCTGTCCGGGGCAGGGATGGTCTCCAGCTGCAGGAAGTACAGCAGCACCTGGACCTGCCCGGGCAGAGTGGGGAAGAGGAGAGCAGCTCAGAGGGGGGCTCACAGCTGCTGGTGGGGAGGTCTTTGGGGCCTAAGCCTCCAAGTCCACCTCAGGTGCTGGAAACCCCTGCTGGTGTCATGAACCCCCTTACAGTGAGACGGGGGTGGGGTGGGGTCCTGACAAGGCATGACTTCGTAGGGGGGTGTATATTTTAGAGATGCACAGGGCCTTGCTCTATCCCCCAGGCTGGAGTGCAGTGGCTCCATCATGGATCTCTGCAGCCTCTAACTCCTGGGCTCAAGCGATCCTCCTGTGTCAGCCTCCTAGGTAGCTAGGACTACAGGTGTGTGCCACAATGCCTGGCTAATTTTTCTTTGTATTTTTTCTAGAGATGGGGATTGCTACATTGCCCAGACTGGTCTCAAACACCTGGGTTCGGTTATCCTGCCTTGGCCTCCCAAAGATTACAGGCATGAGCCACCACACCCGAACACTTGAGGTGATTTTAAGCTTCCAGCAAAGTGCACCAGCAGGACCAGGAGGTGGCCTGGGCCCCCCCACGTCACTCCCATCCATGCAGACCTAGGCAAGTCCCTCTCTCTGGATCTCTGCCACCACTACATACAATGCAAGTAGAAAGATGGGCAGGACTGGGGGTGGAGAAGGTAGAGGCCACGTCTGTCAGGCTGGGTGGGCTGGAGCCTCTCTTCCCATACCTGGGACATGATCTCCAAGGATCAGCTGTCAGTCATGATGATGGGCTGGCTTGGATTGGCAGGGAGCTTGCTCTCCTTCTCGGAGGGATGGAGCAGTGTAGGGCCAAAGACAGCAGTGAGGTTGTACAGGGACATCTTATTGACTGCCTCCTTCTCTGCCATACTGTAGAGGACTGAAACAGTGGGTGCTGTTTCAATACCACCACCGAGAGAGACAGAGGGGCTGTGCCATGCTGGAGTCCTCAGGAAGGGAGTGACCTCACCCCTGGCTATGCTGCAAGCTGACTCCAGCCCTGGTACTTCCGAGTCTCAGCGGCCCAGGAAAAAGGGCCAGCTCTGGGCTGGTGGGGAGGTCTCCTCTATGATGTGACTGGGAGGGAAGAGGGTGGTTCAAGTGCACTGCTGGCCATGACCAAAGCTCTGAGTTCTTTGTTAAGACCACAGTGCAGAGGGAGGAGGGTGGCAAAGAGGAGAGGCAGGGGCAGGGGTGGCAGTGCTGCTAGTCCTTAGAGGCAGTAAGTGACTGCAGAGAGGGGTCGGGGGAAAAGGTCCTCAGTCTGGAGGTCTGGTGGGAGCAGAGGGGCACCCCATGGCCTGGAGACCTGGAGCCCCCCGCAGCCATGGGAGAGCTGGGCTACCTTTTCAGGTGGTCCAGAAGGAAAAGAAAGGTGAGCAGGTTGGCCTCCGGCAGGGACAGCAGCAGGTTGAGCATGCAGCTCTCCTTTGCAACTGGGTCTGAAAGAGCTGCAGGAGGCGATGGGTTACTCTTCTGTGTCATAACCAGCCAGAGACCTCTCCCGAGGTGGTCACATGGAGCACCTGGGACATGAGTCTCTGCACAGTTTAGGCTCGTCATCATCCCCACACCCACAGCGCTGGCTCCCAGTGAGGACCCTGTGAGGGGCACCTGTGTGGGATGTGAACCACCTGAACATCTTTTCTCTACCTCACAGGGGTCAGCAGCACCCAGCAAACAGCAGCAGGAGGAGCCCCACACCCACAGCGCTGGCTCCCAGTGAGGACCCTGTGAGGGGCACCTGTGTGGGATGTGAACCACCTGAACATCTTTTCTCTACCTCACAGGGGTCAGCACTCCAGCAAACAGCAGCAGGAGGAGCCGTGAGAATAGCACATGGGCAGAGCTGCTCCTGGGCAACTCCTGCCACCACCCTTCCCCAGGAGCCCAATGCAGGCAAGGCTCAGTGTGGAATGGAACAGGGGAGTGAGGGACACAAGGAGGTGGGAAGGGGGAGGGGCCCCAGCCCCACCAAGTACGCAGAGACCCCTCATCGTCCTGACACCACAGGGCCACCTGCATGTTGGGGGAAAGCAGGTCTTCTGTGCATGGGCCTGCGGGAAGACCTGCCCTAAGGGTCATGTGGAGACGACAGGTGCTGCACGGTCAGCGCCCGTCGACATCAGCCTGCAGGTTGGACTCAAGGTCAGGCCATGTTTGAACCCATGCTTGACCGGGATCTGTGACCTGTGGCTAGAGCACTGGTCACCAAAAAGGTTTAGCCCTGGTCTGCAGGAAGAGGACAGCAGACTTTAGGACCCCACAGCACGGCAGTGCTGACTCATTCTCACCCTCTTGGTCTCCCTTGGAGGAATAGACGATGCTCCTCTGGGGATGTAAGCAGGTCTTCCAGGACAGGCTTGATTTTGGTCCTCTGTTTTCTGAGGCTGGGTTAAACACTGACTCATGCAGCAGAGGGGGCACAGCTCGGTTCCCACACATCACTTTTCACAGCCTCCAAGGGCAGCAGGACGTGGAGGAGACGGCTCATGAGGCCAAGGCCTCCAGTGCTCACCAATGCCTCGCGGCTAGTAGAACGTTGGGCCGGGTGAAGAGGGGCTCGGCAGCTCACGGAAGTACAGTCAGCGTTGCCTGCGATGGCGTTCTACGCCCATCTCGCCTATCATCACCGACACGCCCTGTTATCTGGAAAGAGCACGAAATGCAGCGGCCTCCTTCAGATCCCGAGTGAGCTCACCACCCCTGCCTTGGCTAAAGCACCGCCCCTGCCACGCAGACCACTGTGCGGTCCTCTGGGCTTTGAGCAGCCCATTCCACCCCCTCCCAAGAGCTGTGCGTGAAGGCTCTGTGTCTGCAGAGTTGATGGGGTGCGTGGCATTCCCATTCCTCTCCCCCTGCTTATTCCGAGGTGACGGCCAGGAGGAGGCCAGCACGGCAGGACACAGCGCCTGTGTGGGAATCGGGTGACTCTGCCCTGTACATAGCAACCACCCCTGCACCAGTGTCTTCTGATGGCAGGAAGGGCTGGGAGAATCTGATTGGTTTCAGTGTTTTGAACCGTGTCTTCCTCTTGGACCTAATTGGTCATTGGTGCTTACATCCCTACCAGGCCAGTTCATTCTTGGGCCCCCAGAGTGAGCTGAAAACTACTACAGGCCCTCCCTTCCCAGGGGTGCTGGGCATTCTAGGGTCCTGGGTCAGGGTCGGGTGGTGAGTGCTGCACAGAAGGGTCTGCAGGCACAAATCCTGTTGCTTGAAGAGTGCTGGAAAGGACTCCTCTGGGGTCTCAGTGCCTCCCCTGGCATTTGAGGCAGGTCTGGGTCCTCTGTGTGCCTGGGAGGCTTGTGAGATGGAGGTGGAGATGCTGCAGCCTTAGGCCTGAGCTGGGTCCCATCAGTGCCTCTTCGCACCGCATCCTCAAGGTGGGCAGTGACAGACCACACTGAGTCCTGGGCTTCCACCTCCTGTCCACCCCCAAGGCAGGAAGGCCAAGGCCCCACAGAAGCCCCTGGTTCACCCAGCAAGTGGTATGAGTGGGTACGATGGTAAAAACTGGCTTCTATAGAAGCTTTTTCTACAACTCTTGTTTTCTCTTTTTTAAAAATAATAAAACAGTAAATGAAGAAAAGACACAGAGAAGGATGTGACATGCCCGGGCCATGGAGCGCTCTGAGATCACATCGTGGACACCACCGCCTAACACTTCCATCCTGTCCTGCGGTGAGGTTTGACACTCACTGACGCCGAAGGCTGCCGCCAGTGCTTGGATGTCCGTGGCCACTCCAGACACGCGGTAGATGCCCACGTCCTCCATGCCTCGGCGCTCAATCTCCTCCATGTGCTGGGATGCAGACAATGTAGGGCACCCGACTCTGTCTCCTGCGGGAGGAGGAAATGTTCTCAGTGTCCTGACAGCCCTTCTTGGGCCACAACACAGAGGCCTGCCTCTCTGCATACCTGGAGGTGGGGTGAGGATTTGTGACAAAGGCGCCAGGTCTGGGGCTGCACATAGAGCCTTCTGCATGTCTGTGCTCCTCTGCAAGCCCTGTCCTCATTGCATGTACTTTCTCAGGAACCTGTCAAGCAGCTAGAACCCCTGAGTAGAGTCAAAAGCATACATGATCTTTTGTGGGAAGGTCAGAGGCCCTGTCTAAGTAAAGTCAAAGTACAGAAAGGCATCTGATAGATTCCAGGCCTGGGGTTAGCAGCCTGTACTTTCAGCTGGGAGATCAGACCCAGCAAGCTGGTCCTGCCACCCGCGGTGCTGTGTGAGAGGAGAATCCTGACCTCTGCCCTGGGCCTGGGCCTTAACACACATCCGAGGAATGAATGAAGTGCCGCGCCCAGCACCAGTGCTCAAGTCCTGTGATGCTACGTGCTTTTCCTCCGAGTCTTAGCAATGAATAATTCCAATACTGCCACACAGGACACTAGGAGTAAGAATACTTGAAAGTAAGTGCTGTGCTGAGGCCTTAAATTTACTTTTGTTTTGCAACTAGATTTACCAGCACATCAAAGCTGCTTCTCAAGCCACCCTCATTAGCAGTGGTTATTTGGGGGAGCTACTGCTGGAGTCCTCACTGCTCATGCCCAGAGCCCTCCCAGAGTGCTACGCAAGTGGCTGCCATGCAGCTGGGGGTGGGACGTGCTGTTTAGACACAGAAAGGAGTCCAGGGTATGATTGATGGAGGCCCCAGCCCACATGACCGGCAAGTTCAGAGGCGCAGCCGGATTCCATCCTGGGGAAGCAAATGAATTCTCAGAGGAAGTGGTCTGTGTCTGCAAGAACTGCTCTCAAACCAAACAGGTTTCTCTTGGCAACTGACTTGTGACAAAGGGGCAGGGGTTATGGCCATTCAACGGGAACCTGGGACCATGACAAATTCCAAGTGAGGGCAGAAAACCCTGCACTCGGGCAGTTCCTGGAGCCAGCCTACTGCTTCCAAGCAAGGCGGCAAGGACATTCCTGAGCTGGTGTTGAGTAAACACAGGAGGTAGCTGAACACACCAAGTGTTCCCTGGGGCCTGACCTCACCGCGCAGTGGCCACGCACAGAGAGGAGAGACCCACACATGCTCTTTTCTGCAAAAACAGCTGAAGGGACACGTACCCTCAGTGCATGAGCCCAAGCCCATCCCCACTCACTTGGTGACCACAGCAATCTTGACTCCGAAGACCCCTGTTTTCATGATGGCATCCTCTTCAAGTTGAACTCTCTGCTGTTGAACTTGACCGAGAGCTTTACTTCAATCTATAGAGGGGAGAAGGGGCATAGTCCACTAATCCTTCTGGTCCTCATAGCCCAAGGTGCCAAGGGCCCCTTGGAGTCTCAGCAAATATTTCCACTCCCAAGGCATGCAGAGGTCTCAGCATGGGGTAGGGCTGCCCCTTAGGGAATCCCCTAGTCTACTTCAGCAATAGCCGGGATTGTTGAAGATGGTGTAAAGGACTGGCTTCTGCAGAACCACCTTCTAAAATCCCCGCTGCTTCTCTTGCTTGCTTACTTTTTTTAAAATATGGGATCTTGCAATGTTGCCCAGGCTGTACTCGAACTCTTGGGCTCCAGTGATTCTCCTGGCTCAGCCACCAGAGTAGCTGAGACCATAGGTGTACTGTGCCCACTCTCTCTTTCTTAGTAACAATTAAAAATTAGGAAAGACAGAATAATATAAGAAAAAGCCAAGAATCATCAAATATTAACATTTTACCATATATGCCCAGGCCTTTTTGGGTGTGTCACTGCTTTTAAGGTCTAAACCTTTCTGGGGTACCTAAAGACAAATCGGGGGTCTCCATTTCTACAGGCAGTCCCCAGGTCACCGAGTGGAGGCCCCACCTGTCCTGGTGGTGCCATGAGACCTTTGTTTGAGGAAGGATGCTTAGGGCCTGGCTGGCAACTGCATCCCAGCCAGTGAATGACGATTCCCATGCACGGTGATTCTGCTCTTCAGGGAACCTCCCTCCTCCAACCAGGCTCCGTGTCAAATGCTGGCTCAGGCTCAGCTACGTCTGACCAACTTGAAATGAATAGAGGCCACCCTACCCTTCTGGGGGAAGTGGGCACCAGGAAAGTCCCACGGACACGTACCCCATTCATGGCGATGACGGTGCGCTGCCAGTCTCTGTCCTGCAGGGCCTGTGGGTCCAGCTGAAAGCAAGGAGTCATGATTGGCAGAGGCCCTGGGGTCTGTTCAGAGGCTGCACGGGGCAGCAGCCCACACCCGCCACTTCTCCAGTCCTTAGAGACAGAGCCTGACTGTGGCCAGCATCTCCACCCAGAGGCTAAGTGAGGTAGAGTAAGGAGGGGCCTGCCAGACACCCCTGGAACCCAGGGCCCCACTGTTCCCAGAGCCCTGCTGCCTGGGGCTCCCACCCCCTCCTCCCTCTGCCCCTCCCAGTTGGGAGCTGATGCGCAGGCTGGCAGACTCTCTCCGCCCAGCTCGCATCACCACGGGTGCTATGTGGAGCTCAGTGAAAGGCAAGTTGTCCAGCAGCAACTTCAGTAACAACTCCTGGGGGCCTGGTATCCACTGCTGCTGTCCGGGGAACTGTGGACACTGTTCTCCCCCTGCACCATGAACAGCTTGTGGCAGGAGGAGCCTGCAGGCCACACCAGTCCCGTGGTTCAGAATCAGACCCAGGAGGACCCAGAGCCAAGCCCTAAATCAAGCAGCTGGTGAGGCGGCTGGGAGGAAGCCCCTCTGTGACCCCTCTAACTTCTACCCCCACCCAGCCCTGTCCAGGCAGTTAGCCTGCAGGAACTTGTCCTTAATGTCACCTGAACACAGTCTGTGCTGGTACGAAACACCCTGTCATGACCAAGCCACACGTCCCCCGTCCGTGAAGGCTCTGTCTCCCGTTTTATGGGGAGCACAAGCTCTGTGTCAGCGGTTCCTGGGTACACAGAGACCACTGGCTGGGCTGGGTGAATGGGCAGTACCATCGTGTTAAAAATGCTCCTTCCTGGGCTCCACCTGTAGAAAACTGGACTCGTAATCTGGGTGGGACCTGGGATTTGCACAACTAAAAACCCCAGGTAGTTCTGGAGTGAAGCCAGGTCACGGAGCCACTGTCTGACTCCAGACAAGGTCACTGCATCTGGCCTTGTGTTTCCACCCCTTGATGCAGGTGATAGTTCATTTCAGCCACAAGGCAAGCTGCCTAAGAGCAGAGACCACACCTCATGATGTCTGCACATTCCTGTGCGTGCACACACACATACACACATACGACAGTGCTGAGCACAGCGCCAGGCCTAGAGAGGGGCTGAGGACAGGCATCATGTTCACTGCAAAGGACCCTAGAGGCCACAGCCACCTGGGCCTTCTGCAGGTGAAGTGGCTAGAAAATAAGGAGAAGCTCTGGAGCAGGTCAAGGAGCCCAACCAGCTGCCCCTACTTCACAGATGTGTGCACCTGGGCCTCCCTCCCTGCACCTGCTCAGCACAAAGGCTCACCACAGGCACACCTGGGGGGTGACCCTCCTCACCTCCCCTTCTAGGTCCTACCAGTTAATGTTTCCCAGGGATCTGAAATGTACAGCCAGAGTGACACAGAGAAGCAAAGGGTGGCAGGACGTCTCCCACCAGGGGCTATGTGGCCACAGGCTCTCATTCTGCTTCTGGCCCTGAAGGTTTTCAGAGGCCACACTCCAGGCCTCAGGGACCCCACCCTGAGAAGCAGCAGCTGTGACTGAGCAGGGACCGGTCAGTCAGAAGCCACACACAAAAAGGAATCTCTGAAGTGGCACTTTCCCCCAGAGTGAACCCTACGCAGAGGCAGGAGAGGATACCATGAGGGATGGGGACAGAGTGTGCTTTCTCTGGAAAGGGAGAGTTTAATACCCCTGCTGGGAGCTTTAAAAAATTGAAACCCTGTCTGTAATATCAGCACTTTGAAAGGCCAAGGCAGGAGGATCACTTGAGCCCATGAGTTTAAGACCAACCTGGGCAATATAGTGAGACCTTGTCTGTATTAAAAAAAAAAAAAAAAAAAAAAAATTTTAAAGTAGCCAAGCATGGTGGCACATGCCTGCAGTCCCAGCTACTTGGGAGGCTGGGGTGGGAGCACTGCGTGAGCCTGGTAGGTGGAGGCTACTGTGAGCCAAGATCATGCCATTGCACTCCAGCCTGTGCAACAGAGTGAGATACCCTGGCTCTAACTAACTAACTAACCTAACTAACTGGAAACATAGAAACATGTTAAGCAGGAGACATTCTTCCCTTTCCTTCAAAGGACAGCCATCACTGGGCCCCTCTCCCCTTGAAAACCCAGAACTGGCAGAAGAAGCTAACAAGCAACCCAGAGTCCAGGTAAGAAAAGAGATAGAAAGAGAAGCTGTCAGACATCAGGCGGTGCCTCTCTGAGCCCCCCTGGAACCACGGCCCACATGCCAGCCCATTAATGAAATAATAATGAAAACTACTCACATCCAACAGGAGATTAGACATTCAGATAAAAGAGAGTCAAATATCCCCAAACAATGCAATGCAAAGGGTCTTTGCCATGGCAAACTGTAATCAGACTATTTAAAGTCAATGTGAAGATGCAAATTCTAAAACCACCAAGAGAAAAGGATCTAGTCACCTATAAAGCAAACCCCATCAGATGAAGAGCAGATTTCACAGCCCAGCAAATAGAAAACATGTGCTTAAAGGCATAGGAGGCAGAGAAGAACAAGGCTGGAGACAGGCAAGGCCAGCATTCCCCTCAAGGTGACAGCCAATCCTGGAAGAGGAGGCTGAGAGACAGAGCAGTGATTTTCTTTCTTTTCTTTCTTTTCTTTTCTTTCTTTCTTTCCTTCCTTCCTTCCTTCCTTCCTTCCTTCCTTCCTTCCTTCCTTCCTTCCTTCCTTCCTTCCTTCCTTCCTTCCTTCCTCCCTCCCTCCCTCCCTTCCTTCCTTCCTTCCTTCCTTCCTTCCTTCCTTCCTTCCTTCCTTCTTTTTCTTTCCTTTTCTTTTCTTTTCTTTTCTTTTCTTTTCTTTTCTTTTCTTTTTGACGGAGTCTCACTCTGTCGCCCAGGCTGGAGTGCAGTGGTGCGATCTCGGCTCACTGCAAGCTCCGCCTCCTGGGTTCACGCCATTCTCCTGCCTCAGCCTCCCGAATAGCTGGGACTACAGGTGCCCACTACCATGCCCGGCTAATTTGTCATATTTTTAGTAGAGACGGTGTTTCACCATGTTAGAATGGTCTCGATCTCCTGACCTTGTGATCCACCCAACTCAGCCTCCCAAAGTACTGGAATTACAGGTGTGAGCCACCGTGCCCAGCCGATTCTTTTTCTCTTTTTTTTTTTTTTTTTTTTTTTTTTTGCTGAGACAGGGTCGCTATTACTTTTAATGGCAAAAACCACACTTACTTTTGTACCAACCTAATACATTGCTCAGGGTGGTCTCAAATTCCTGGCCTGAAGTAATCCTCCTGCTTCAGTCTCCCGAGTAGCTGGGACTGTAGGCGTGAGCCACCACACCTGGTCTAGAGCAGTGCTGTTGACCTATTCACGTGGCTGAGGGAGGCAATGCCATAATGCCCCACACGTGGGGTGCAGGTTTCTCACTCCAGGAGTGACAGTCAACCAGAAATAGAGCAGCCCTCAGGAGCACTGGATCCAGCTTCAGATCATCTCAGTCACACAAACTGCGTGAAGGACATCCCAGAATTTCAGACTCCTAGGCCTCAAATTATTTTATTTTTATTTATTTATTTGAGACAGCATCTCACTCTGTTGCCCAGGTTGGAGTGCAGTCTCAGGATCATGGCTCACTGCAGCGTCGATCACCTTGGTTCAAGTGAGACTCCCACCTCAGCATCCCAAACACCTGGGACTACAGGCACACACTACCACGCCTAGCTAATTTTTTAATTTTTGTAGAGATGGGGTTTCACCATGTTGCGCAGGCTGATTTTGAACTCCTAGGCTCAAGCAATCTGCCTGCCTCAGCCTCCCAAAGTGATGAGATTACAAGCATGAGCCATCATGCTGGAGCTGGAAATTATTTTTAAAAATTATTTCTTGCTGGGTACAGTGGCTCACGCCTGTAATCCCAGCACTTTGGGAGGCTGAGGCAGGCAGATCATGAGGTCAGGAGTTCGAGACCAACCTGACCAACATGGTGAAACCCCATCTCTACTAAAAATACAAAAATTAGCCAGGCGTGCTGGCACCTGCCTGTAATCCCAGCTAGTCAGGAGGCTGAGGTAGGAGAGTTGAACCCTGGGATGTGGAGGTTGCGGTGAGCCGAGATCATGTCATTGCACTCCAGCCTGGGAACAGAGCGAGACTCCGTCTCAAAAAAAAAATTATTTCTAACGATTTTTATACACACCCTCCATTGCCAAATTAAAAACAACCAAGCAAACAAGGAAATAAGACAGCAGGAACAAAGCTCAAGAGAAAGCAGAGACAATTTTTTAAAAGGCCCATAGGATCTCTAGATTATGAAATTGTCAGACCATGAACTTTAAAATAAGTACTTTATATCTATATTCAAGGATAAAAAGAAACAATAATTTAATCAGAAAACTGGCTACTATAAAAAAATGGACGCACTGGGCATGGTGACTCACTCCTGTAATCCCAGCACTTTGGGAGGCTGAGGCGGGTGGATCACCTGAGGTCAGGAGTTCAAGACCAGCCTGACCAATATGGTGAAACCCCATCTCTACTAAAATTACAAATTTAGCCAGGCATGGTGGCATGTGCCTGGCAGCTACTCGGGAGACTGAGACAGGAGAATCTCTTGAACCAGGAGGTGGAGGTTCCAGTGAGCCGAGATCGTGCCACTCTACTCCAGCCTGGGCAACAGAGCGAGACTCCATCTCAAAAAAAAAAAAAAAAAAAAGAGGCTGGAAGTGGTGGCTCACGCTATAATCCCAGCATGTTGGGAGACAGCAGGGTGAATCACATGAGGCCAGGAGTTCAAGACCAGCCTGGCCAACATGGCGAAACCCGTCTCTACTAAAAACACAAAACTGAGTTAGGCATGGTGGTAATCCCAGTTACTCAGGAGGCTGAGGCACGAGAATCGCTTGAACCTGGGAGGCAGAGGCTGCAGTGAGTTGAGATCGTACCACTGAACTCCAGCCTGAGCAACAGATAGAGACTGTCTCAAAAAAAAAAAAAAAAAAATGGAATTAGGAACTCATTTTGAACAGCACAGTAGACACAAACATAAAAAAAAATAATAATAATGAACTGGTATTTATTTATTTATTTATTTGAGACAGAGTCTCACTCTGTTGCTCAGGCTGGAGGACAGTGGCATGATCTCAGCTCACTGCAACCTTCACCTCCCAGGTTCAAGCCATTCTCCTGCCTCAGCCTCCCAAGTAGCTGGGGTTACAGGTACCCCACCACCATGTCCGGCTAATTGGGAGATAGTTTGATACAAAATGTACAAATTGAAGTACAAAGAGAAAAATAGATAGAACACACAGGAAATGGATTAACAGACATGGGAGATACTTTAACAAGGTATAAGTCATGTGAAATTGGAGTCTCATAAGGAGAGAAGAGAGAGGATGAGAAAGACGTAATACTTGAAGAGATAAAGCTGAGAATTTTCTAAAATGGACAAAAAAGAATGAAGTCATAGAATGAAGAACCACCTAAATGCATCAGTGTAAAACTGCTCAAAGCCAAAGACAAACCTTTTTAAAGCAGCCAGAGGAAAAAAGATACTGCCTTCAGGCCGGGGTGTAGGGGTTGCTCACACCTGTAATCTCAGCACTTTGGGAGGCTGAGGAGGGTGGATTACCTGAAACGAAGAGTTTGGGATCAGCCTGACCAACACAGCAAAAATTCATCTCTATTAAAAATACAACAATTAAGGGGCCAGGTGCGGTGGCTCACACCTGTAATCCCAGCACTTTGGGAGGCCAAGACAAGTGGATCACGAGTTCAGGAGATCGATACCATCCTGGCTAACATGGTGAAATCCCGTTTCTACTAAAAATACAAAAAATTAGCTGGGTGTGGTCGTGGGCACCTGTAGTCCCAGCTACTCGAGAGCCTGAGGCAGAAGAATGGTGTGAATCCAGGAGGCAGAACTTGCAGTGAGCCGAGATCACGCCACTGCACTCCAGCCTGGGCGACAGAGTGAGACTCCATCTCAAAAAACACAACAACAAAAAAAGACATTGCCTTCAAATGAGCAAAATTAGATTGAGAATTGGCTTCTCAATAAAAACAGGAGAAATCAAATACAAGGGAATCATGTTTTCAAACTGAGGAAAGAAAATATCTGCCAACCTAGAATTTTATGTGCACTAACAATATCCTTCAAAAGTGAAAATGGCCGGGCATGGTGGCTCATGTCTGTAATCCCAGTACTTTGGAAGGCCGAGGTAGGTGGATCACTTGAGGTCAGGAGTTCAAGACCAGCCTGGCCAACATGGTGAAGCTCCATCTCTACCAAAAATACACAAATTAGCCAGATGTGGTGGTGGGCACCTGTAATCCCAGCTACTCAATTCTTGAGGCACAAGAATTGCTTGAACCCCAGAGACGGAGGTTGCAGTGAGCCAAGATCCTGCCACTGCATTCCAGCCTGGGTGACACAACGAGACTCTATCTCGAAAAAAAAAGGAAAAAAAAAAAAAAAAAAAAAACCAGGCCAGGCATGGTGGCTCATGCCTATAATCCCAGCACTTTGGGAGGCCAAGGTGAGTGGATTGCCAGAGGTCGGAAGTTTGAGACCACTCTGGCCATCATAGGCAAACCCTGTCTCTACTACAAATACAAAAAAATTATCTGGGCGTGGTGGTGTGCACCTGTAATCCCAGCTACTCGGGAGGCTGAGGCAGGGGAATTGCTTGAACCAGGAAGGTAGAGGTTGCAGTGAGCCGAGATCGTGCCACTGCACTCCAGCCTGGGCAACAGAGTGAGACTTCGTCTCGAAAAAAAAAAAAATTAGCCAGGCGTGGTGGCTCATGCCTGTAATCCCAGCTACTTGGAGGCTGAGACAGGAGAATCACTTGAACCCAGGAGGCAGAAGTTGCAGTGAGCTGAGATCGCACCACTGCACTCCAGCCTGGGCAACAGAGCGAGAGAGGGAGACTCGGTCTCAAAAAACAAACAAAAAAGTGAAAGTGGAATACATATATGTGTGTGTGTGTGTATATGTGTGTGTGTATGTGTGTGTGTATATATAGATAGATATAAATATGGAATATATATGTATATTTTGGCCATGACATAGCCGAGATCCTTGACTATGTATGCAAAGATATTTTTTCCCAAATATATTTTTATAAATAAAAATAAAGGGTAACAGAAGAAGTAAATGTTTGGGTAAATCTAAATGAATGTTATTGTTATAAAATTGTAGTAGTACAGAAAATGGTATTTTGTGGGGTTTAAAATAAATAAAACATACTGAAATATGTATGGGTAAAGTTATATATCTGGGATTTGCACTGA